TATAAGGTGGGAGGATTTAACCGGCAAACCTCCACCATCCCTTCCATCTCTGGATCGGGAGTAATTGGCACCTTCTGGCCAGTTAACAGCTCAGGAGCACCGCCGTGGAAAAGCACTCAAGTGGAAGGATGAGAAAGTCACAGTCCTGGTTACTCTGCAGTTTTATATATTTTCTAAGAAAAAAAAATCTTGTAGGTGAAGAGGTGAAAACTATTGGTTAAAAAGGGATTTGAACATGGCCCCCAATTAGCCATGTTTTTCTTGACCCTCATTCTTATGAATGACTGAGATGTGGTTACTAACATCAACTAGATTACAAAAAAAAAACATGACCTAAAAACAAGACATTTTAGGAAAGTTGACTCAAGGGGACTCATTTGCCCATGTTTACAAGAAAAAAATGTAGCTATAAAATTTCCTCTTAGTATTTTATAAAATGGGGATGTGTGATTAATTGAATCTTAATGACCTGAAGAAAGAAATGCTTTCCAAGAAGCACTGGAACATAAAGGAGGCCTGGAGCAAGAGTTCTACCCTCTCTCTTTCTCTCTGCCTCTGTCTCTGTCTGTCTCTGTCTCTTTCTACCTCCTCTCCCTCTCCTCTCCCTCTCTCTCTTTCTTTGTTATTCCAATCTTGCTACCATGCATGTGAACCTAAGCTTGTTGGATAAAAATCTCTGGCTAAATTAAATTTGAGTTGATTAAGAAATTGGTGTGCGAGTTCAGGCAAAGCATATTTATGTGGAAAAAAAAACAATGACAAACCTTGGTCACTTAAAAAAATTATTTTTTAGCTATGATTCAGAGTTACCATAGCTTCCTCACTGAACTGTGCCCTTGTTGATTGAAATCAGCGCTGGGGTTCAAAGAAACTTCATCCTGTTGTTATGAAACATCACAGTAGAGGAGGGTTCATTGGTACTGACAGAGAGATATCGTTGCATTAAATCCCTGACTAAGAAGGGGGTCTGTGGATCCCATCCCTTCTCTCTTGGCATTCCCTAAGACCACCTGCCGCTTCTTATCCCCTGAAGCATTAGTAGCAAGGAGCCTTTGCCAGGGGCTCTGAGATGCATTCTGACCTGGGTAAACCACTTTACATCTTCCTACCTTCTTTCTGAAATTCAAATGGAACATTTAAATGGGATTACATCAGAACACTAATACATACATACACACACATACATAAACATATATGTATGTATATATGTATATGTGTACATATATATATATATATACATATTAGAATGCCATTAGGATGTGGATAATTTTTATATGGTCTAAGACATATTAAAAAAAAGACCAAATCACATTCCCTTAAACCGTCTAGTGAAAGCTTGATAGGACAGACCCTAATGGAGAGGCATCTCAGGACCCTGAGTCCAAAAGTCTTGGGAATATACCAGTGCCTTCCAGACCACCAGGTTGGCTTCCAGTCTGACCCCTGCAGCCATGACTGAGGGGAGCAATCCCTGTGGAGAAGGAGCCCACCTTCCTCACCACCAACACCAATCAATGTTCAACTGCCACCAGCAGGCAGGTAGGCTCCAAAGCCCCGGGGATTCTCAGACCACTAGAACTGCTTCCACGGCAGCCACGGCAGCCTTCATCCCCGGAAGCAACCACCCCCCTTTTGGTGACACAGTCTGGCAACTGCTTTTGTGGGTGCCCAATAACCATAGCTATTAAAGACCTAGAAGAGGGAGTCCTCAACATCAAAGTCTCCAGCTTTATCAAATGGTTCACCATCAGGAACTGATAAGATTTTATCAGTAGAAATGACATCAAAAGTGAAACATTACCATCTGGTTTATTGTTGCACCCTAAGGACCACAGAACCTTGCCACCTAACTTGCATATGAAGCCTCCTATATATATTGTGCTTACCCCACCTCCACTAGAATGTGAGTTCCTTGAGACCAGGGATTGTCTTATTCTATTTCTATTCTCAGGGCAGCTAGGTGGTGCCATAGTGCACAGAGGGTCGGGTCTGGAGTCAGGAAGACTCATCTTCCTGAGTTCAAATCCAGCCTCAGACACTTCCTAGTTGTGTGACCCTGGGCAAGTTACTTCACCCTCTTTGCCTCAGTTTCCTCATCTATAAAATGAGCTGGAGAAGGAAATGGCAAACCATTCCAGTATCTGTGCCAAGAAAACCCCAAACGAGGTCACAAAGAGTTGGATACAACTGAAAAAAATGAACAATATCCTCAGCACTTAACACAATGCTTGGCACATAGCAAGCACTTAATGTGTCATTCATTCATTCATTCTCCCATCTTCCTCTTATTGATTTCCCAGTCAAAGGCACCTATTTGCTTCTATCCTTAGCATGCCATTAAAAGCCTCCTGCCACCTAATGCCAACCTACCTGTCCAGCTTTACTCCAAGCAACTCCCCTTCACAAGCTCCATTCTAGCTACACTGTCCTTCTGGGTGTTCCCTGGACTCTCCATTCCCACCCATTGAAACAGGCCGCCCTCCATGCCTGGGATGTCCCGTGGTCCTGCCTCTGCCTCTCACAATCCTTGTCTTGCTCCAAGACTCAGCTAAGGCATCACTCCCTTATGCCCCTAGGCCTTCCTTTTCTCCCTTCTCGCATTACCTCTCCTTGCTTATCTCTGTACATATTACATCCTCTGGTAGAGTGTAAGCCACCAGAGGGCAAAGAATTGTTTGTCTGTGTGTCCCCAACCCTCCCACTGCATAGTATAGTGCCTAGGTCAAACCAACAAGCATTGGCAAAGGGATTATTATGTGACAAGTACTGTGCCAGGTGCTATGGACAGACAGGGGATAGGGCCTACAGCTGTGATTTCATTAGAACAGAGAACTCCTTCCTGGGTGAGGAAACTCCCTTCACCAATGCAACTTGGGAGTCTTCTCAGGAGTTACCTAGATCACTGGGAGGCCAACAAGCATTTATTAAATGCTTACATCAGAGCTGGGGATGCAAATGAAAACAGCTCCTGCTCTCAAGCAGCTCACAGTCAGAGGCAGGATTTGAGTACTCTGCCCATCGGCCTCCCTAGGTGCTGTGCAGACAGTGACAAACACAAGCTAGCCCCTGCCTTCCTGCTTGGGAGAAACAACGCACACGCATTTAAGTTAGTGTAGTGAATTCCATGTATTACAACAAGCATGTATGTAAGGACACTCATGCGAGAAAAGAGCAGATGTTTTTGGGAAAAGGCACTAGAAGTTAGGGATTCTCAAAGGTGGTGGCAAGGAGAGACGGCATTCTAGGTCCTGGAGGCAGCTTGTGCAAAGCATCAGAGGCAGGAAATCATAGGATCACAGATGGGGAGCTTCCATGGAGGCAGGAGGACTCCTTCTACATTCAAAGAAAAGTTTCTATTTTATTCTATAGGCAACAGAGAGCCACTGAATCTTCTCAACTCTCAAGTCCCACGTCGCCTGAGGAAACCTTCTCTGATCCTCTCAGGCACCAGTGCCTTGCTCCCCTCACATCAATTTATCTGCACCTCCCCGATAGACTGATCGTGTATTGTTTAGTGCTATTGTTATCTGGGCATGAGTTGCGTCACCCCAGTTATGAGCCACCTTCTTTGGAAGGCAGCGCGAGGTGGGGGGATAGGGCCCTGGACGTGCAGTCAGGAAGACCCCATCCTTAGACGCTTATTAGCTCGGTGACCCTGGGTGAGTCCGTGCCTCAGTTATGTATCTGTAAAATGAGGGTGTTAGATTTGATAACCTCTAAGTTTCCTTATAGCTCTAACCCGAGATCCCATGATCCTTTGTCAGACTTGGACTGAAAGCTCCATCAAGGCACCGACGGTGTCTTGGCTAAATTTCATATATGATTCAGGGCTTGGTAGCTTAATGAATGTTTGTTTAATTTGATGAACTTGAACCCTAATAGCATTCTTCCTCTCTAGCCAGCTCATCGTCCTTAAAATTTTGGAAAAACATACAAACACGTGCGTGTGTGCGCGCGCGCGCACACACACACACACACACACACACACACACACACACCCCCTTCTTCCTTGTCACACACAAGGACTAGATGGGGCAGATCTGGTCGTTGGCTAAGGCTGCAGAGCAATGTCATGGCCCTGCAAGTGAGAGCCTTTGGACTGCAGGCTGTAATATTAGTACAAGTTATAATCAGATAAAACCACCCAAACTTAGAAGCCCGTACAATAGGCCAGAGGCCAGGGGGCTGGGGAGGAGGAGGGAGAGGAGGAAAGGCACAAAGACAGTATTCAAAGGCAGCCAGGGAGCTTTTCTGCATCCACCACTCGACCCTGGCCAAGCTTGAATGTCAAGCTATTGCGAGCAGGATGGTGGGCTGGTGGTTGTTGTTTTTGTAATGGTGAGGTTATAGTTTGCTAAAAAAAAATAAACTCAAAAGGGAAAGTGCTGCCATAACCCTAGCTGCCGAGACACGAATGAGAACTTGTTGTTATAATGATGTAAACAAACGATGCTCCAAATGATGGGCCAAGAGGCCAAACCGGCGGCTTGGAATTACAAAACATCTTGGGATGAAAAGGAAAACTCCACAGACTCGTCAGGAAGAAAGTGCTGTCTGTAATTGGGGCAGGTGCTCAGCTCTGCAATGAGTCGCCAGATTATTTTATTATCCAATGGGAGTGTTTTGTTAGCACCTCACTAACAGGAGGAGTGAAAAGGCCCAGTCAGAGCCTCACCCTGCAGAAATTGTCCTGATAACTGGGGGAAAATGGGCACTTGTTGGTTACTGTCCTAATTCCACCTCCCTTCCTGCCCCCAGCGTATTCTCTTCCTTCTATTTGTTTGTATCACGTCTCTTCAGCACATTTGGTGGGTGCTGTTTATCAATCCTAAGGCGCCAGAGAGCTTAAAAAAATGTCAAATGGTAGGAGGACCAACAACAACCAGTAATAATTACATAATTGTCATTTTTTAAAAAACCAAATTGATATTTAAGTATGAAGAGCTCCAATCAAAAAAAAAACCCAACAAAAAACAAAAGAGTCAAACACGACCTCTTACCTTCTCATCCATCAAACCATGTTGGGAAGTCACCATGCAGAAGACAGTGGTCACCCCAAGAAAAACAGCCAATCTAGAATAGGGAGATATAGACCAAAAGGAAATTAACTCAAGGTTTTGTGAAACATCATGTGTTTCTGTGCTAAAAGAGATATGACTCAAAAAACTCTATCTCAGTGGTAGCACGGTGCCTGGCACATAGTAGGTACATACATAATTAAATATTTATTTATATTTTATATTTATATTAAATATAGTTATACACAGCTAAATATTTATTAACTGATTGCTTGGCACATAGTAGGTATATACATAGTTAAATATTTATTTTTATTTTATATTTATATTAAACATAATTATACATAGTTAAATATTTATTAACTGATTGATGTTAAGTACATTATTGTTGTTCAGTCAAGACCTCCAGCATGGGGGAACTCACTGCCTCTTGGGGCAGTACATTCTATAACAGGATAGAGTCTATTTTCTACTAGACATAGTGAATCACGTTCAAGGAGCCGAAAAGAGCCTGGTGTAGCAGAAATGAAGAGCGTGTGGAGGAGAGTAACATATAAGAATACCGAAGATCCTGATTCAGTCAACGGTTGCATTAGCCAAGCTTGAAAATTTGATAAGCATGCCATGTCTTCCACCATCCAAATCACTAATACAAATTATACCAGACCATGGCCAGGTACATACCCTAAAGGTGCTCTGCTATCGTTAGCCTTCTAAGTTGATACCCATGCGTTTATCATGATTCTCTGAATCTAGCTATTCATCCAGTTTTGAGTTCATCCAACTGTGTTACCTCCTAGCTGTTTTCTTTCCATCTTTTTCACAAGATTAGCATGAGAGGCTTAGTCAAATGTTTGTAAAGATCTACTACACCTGGTCTATTAATCCTTTTATAAAAGGAAATGAGGCAAATCTAGCATGGCACATGGCCATGCTATGATGATCACTTCCTTTCCTAGATGTCCACTAACCACTCCCTTAACGCATTCTAGAGCTCTTCCAAGCCCTTTTCCAAAGGGCTTGATCCAAAAGACCTCAAGTAATTAGAACATTAGGAGAAATCTATTGAATGAGGATAAATGTAGAATTTTATACCTGGGCTCAAAGAGTCAGCTCCCAAGTATGTGATGTGGGAAGTTTTACTGAATTTAGTCAGTCAATCAGCATTTCTTAAATGCCTTCTGTGTGCCAGGCACCAGGTGAAGTGAAGGAGATACAAGGAAAACTGAAAGACAGTCTCTGCTCTTGAGGGGTTCACAATTTAATGGCAAAGAGACCTGAAAAAAGAGCAGCCAGAAAGCTCAGTATGTGTCAGATGCATAATATGTCGGCCAATATGAGGCACAGGGTTCAGGATGAGGGAGGTGACAGTTCCTCAGCGTTCTGATCTGAATCTAGCTGCGTGCCAATTTTAGGAAGGACACCAATAATCCGTAGAACAGCAAGAGGAGAGGGACCCCCACAAAAGCATATTCATACCCCATCAGATTCCCACTGGAATTTGTGCTTTCTCAGGCACACAAAGGATAAACCATCTCTTTCCCAAAGAGCACTCAGGCCACCGGCCTGGATGGAAATGCATGGGCCCCTAGCAAAAGGGGACCTAGTGGGGTTAAGCTCTAGACACTGCAGGGGTAGAGTTTGCTGGTTTCTGATATTGAGCTCAATGGTGCTATCTCATTCAGAGGTGCTGCCCTGGAAATAATTACCCAGCAAGGCTGGAAAGGGGACAGGCTCAGAAAAATTTGAGCTTCTACACATAATAGGTGCTTATCTGCACCCCATGGCAAGGCACGCATGGCATTCCCCACTGCAGCGTCAGAAGAATTGGGGCCAACTGCGTTAGGAGCCAGAGTGAGACTGGAGCCCACTGAGCAAGCAAATCTTGATGCAACGTGATAGCAAGTGAGCTCCGCTGACTTCTGTCCTCAGGTAGATGCAATTCCCCTGCACCAAACTCAAGCTGGCTCTTGACATTCCTCCTGCCTCCTGTCAAATTCTTCAAGTGGATTTTGTCATGTACTGAATGGGGGCTCTTGGGGACTTTGCTGCTCTACCCTCTGAGTATCTCTTGCTATATCCTTCCAGACAAACCTGACTTTGAACTCCTTTCCTCCTGTTTTGCATACTGTGGCAAAACCTGGAAGAGATAAGCTGGGCTGGTGTTCGATGTACTGTATGTCTAAACTATTTGCTTTAGATTGACCAGGTTTTTTTTTTCTTTTTCTTTTTCTTACAGATTATTTTAAAACACTGTTAGGTCAGACTTTTGAGTTGAACTCATCTAACTACTTTTAGGCCACTTGCCCAAGCTATAGTCTCCAGATTCTGCTAATTGAGGACATTTTAAATATTTAGACTGAAATATCTAAATGTGACTTGTTCATTCCTGGAAAATCAGACAAATGAGAACATGATTGAAGACCAGGAATACGTATATATATATATATATGTATATATATATATATATATACACATACATACATACATACATACATACATACACACACACACACACACACACATACACACACACACCAGGAATATACTCTGAACAGTAAGTCCTTAGGTGCTCCCCAGCACCAACTACAGTAAAATGCTTTTCACTTGGGGAATGATGGTGGAGTTAGCACTAAGATATGAGATACTTCAAAGGGCTGGGATTTTATAGATGTGGGACATTGCCTCCACTGATGCAGATCACAGTCCCTCTACAACTTGGGAGACTGTCTTCCAGAGCTGCTATGGCCAAAAAAAAAATGATGGTAATTAACTTGTTGGTATATCTCTTAGAAATAGCCTTGCTTTAACTAGGTATGGCAGGCAAAGATTCTCCAGTTTGGCGGGACCCATGAAGACCTACACTACTGTGGCATCACTTTCAAGGACCTAGCGTCTGATAGTTCCACTTAGAGGCAAATACCCCACATAGGACAAAGACAGAAAGAAAGGTCTCATACACACCAAAATGCTTATAGTATCACTTTTTGTGGCATCAAAAACTAGAAACAAAGGTGCTCACTGATTGGGGAAAGGCTCAATGAATTATGGCTTGTGATTATAAAGGAACATAGTGGCACCATAAGACATAAAGAGAAATATGGGAAGTTTTGTATGAATGAATGCAAGTGAAGCAGGGCCAAAAATACAATATGCACCATGACTACAATGATGTAAATGGAAAGGCAAACCCAAAAAAAGGCAAAAGTGAGTGCTGTGTAATTAATTATAATGACCAATTACAATGAATAAAATGCTTCTCCCCACTCTTCTTTGCAAGTGGGAGACACCGGGTATAGAATGCTGCCTGTAGTTAATACTGGACTTCTAAGAATTGATACAGGTCAACCATTGAAGAAATCACCATAAAGTTTCCAAATTTTTTTCTCACTAAAATGTTTCCTAAGTATCACATATACAGCAGGATAGCTACCATATTTTTCACTATAACTCCAAGACAAAGCAAATTAAAACTAGAGCCTTAAAATCATGCCAGTTTTTGCGAAAGGGTGACAGCAAGGAAGGAAGGAAATGAAAAGAATTCAGGCCAGACTTGGGGCCCATCCAACTCCAACAGGTTGTTTTAGCATTCTTGGACTAGTCATTTGAAAAATATGCATCTGTGACTATATGGTCATTGCTAAAAGGAACCAGTGACTAACTTTATTTGCATTGGATTTAAAGAAAAGAAATGGGAGTCAACCCTTGGAACAATCCTGGTCTAGTCTGTGTGTTCTGTGGGCATTTTAGCTCAGATTCAAATATATTAATTGTGTAGGATTTTCTAGTTAAGAAATAAAACCAGACCCATAGTACCCTACTTAAATTTGGAATAAATTTATTTCTGAGCAGGAAATGGTTCACTTTGTAGTTGTCTGACCTGAGGTTAGGCAGGCTCAACTTCCCATGACTACTTTCAATTAATGCAAAAGAAAGGTTAAAGTGTAAACAAAGTTCCCATTCACTGAGTTTGACTAATATGTTATTTATAAATGGTTTTCAAATTGAGTTTTTTTTTCTGGGTATGGTAACTAGGTACTCAATCAATCTTCTGAAAGAACACAATAAGATAACTAGGCACAAATTTTATTGCAAAGATTGAGCTTCAAAAAAACCCAGAGGTTAAAAATAATTTTAAAAATTGTGCCAAAAGATCACATTGGAAAGTTGATAGGGTGTGGGGAAAGGGTAGCTAAACTCTCTTTCTTTCTCTTGGATATATTACCCTTCCCTCCTTCTCCTGAGTAAGATCAAGCAGTAAATATTTATTAAGTGCCTACCATGTATCAAGCATTGTATTAAGTGCTAGATGGCCTCATTAGAAACTGATGAATAACAACTATGCCTATACTGAGGATAATGTGCAATATTCATGGGAATAAATGAAAATTACAAGAAATGTTCACATTAACACAAAATAGTTCCAATTTCGCCTTTCTGTGTTTTTCCCCTTAAAGATACCAGGCTGAAGATATAACAGGCCTATTAGGCCATTCACCATGGTTCCCTGGTATTCAGACAATTTGTTTTTATGATCGTTTCCTCCATGTCTGCCATCTCTTCCTTACATTGGTGAATAGCCAATCAGATACAACTCAGTAGGCTAAGTGAAGACACACAGTCGGATTATTGAGTCCTAGCTAAGTATTTGTAACAAATGATAACATTCAAAGGGAATGTCACTGAATCTCCCTGTAAATCTCCTCCTAAGGCAGCCATCACTTCAAAAATAACCAAGGACAGCCGTTTCCTCAAATATTTCTCCAGTGAAGCAGCCTCTTAGGAAGAGAAGAAAGAGAACAAAGACCCAACCATTTTGAGAGAAGGTGGCAGGGCAGCACTGTCTTCAAAACATGTGAACAGACTCAGAGGAAAAGGAAGGATGATGGATCCAGGGCTAGAACGAGCCTGGCCCAGCTTCGTTTTACTGAAGAGATTCAGGTAAGCAAAATGATTTTCCCAAGGTCACACAGAAGCAGTGAGGGTCAGAGACTGGATACGACCAACACTTTTTCCTCTGTTTCTTAGAATGCATGTCTTCTACTATTCTTGGTA